ATTCATACCCCTTCCCTCTCCTGTGTGTTTATTCTGGACAAATACTGGAAAGTTTCCGTGAACTTTGTATTAGAAGAGGTTTGACCTGACCACCAAACACATGTACCACACAGGGAGAGGTAACCTCTCTGAGCCTTAGCCTCCTGTTCAGTTACTTTTCCTGATGCTGTGATAAAATGTCCTGAAAAAAGGAACAGAATGGAGAAAGAGTTCCTTTTGGTTCACAGTTCAAAAGTACAGTTCATTATGAGGGGAAGCCATGGGTGGCTGAGCTTGAGGCATCGGACCTTGTTGGGTCCACGGCAAAGAAGCAGAGAGAGGTAAAGGCTATCCTAGTTGGCTCTCTCTGTGTGGTTAAGTCTAGGATCCCAGCCTGTGGAATGGTGCCACCTACTCTTGAGGCAGGTCTTCACCTCATTTAATCTAGATGACCCTCTCACAACTGTGCCCGAGGCTTGTCTTCCCTGTGATTCCAGACTCTGTCAAACTGACAATCGCTGCTTTACATCCGTGTTTCATTGTGGGAATCATGAAGTAGGAGTCCCATAACACAAACACAGATGGATTAAAGGCAAGCATCAGTAGGAAGATTAGAAATACTTCAAAGAAATGGCTTTGGGAAGAGAGAAACTCACCGAGCCTAACTTTAGACTAGGAAAATAAATGAAATATAGGTAAGTTTGACTATTACATTAGGAATATCTATTTAAAATGCACACAAAATCCACTGACTGACTGGGCATGACAGTGCAGGGCTGTAACCACAGGCTAGGAGGCTAAGGCAGGGAGAATTCCCCTGAGTGTATCCCCTGGCTAGTACACATACAGGGTTTCAGTCTAGCCTGGACTACATGGTGAAGTTTTGTTTCAAAACAAAAGAAAGAAAGAAGAAATTCCATAGACAAAAAGCTTGTGAAAAGAGTTTTGAACTTGCAGATAACTAAAATTTTAAAACTAGAATAGTAACAAATTGATAATGATCTGGGTGTTGCATAGGTCATATAACATACTAGGAAAAACACAAAGCAAACTGGAACCTTCCAAGTGTTGTCATTCCAGATTGGAGAGTAAGAACGGGATTGCTCTTATTGTCCACTTTAGAGAGTAGCAATTTTGACCCAAAAGACCATATCCTTTTTTCCTCTAGCAATTGGGAAGCCACTAGCAAAGCAGAATAGCAGCTGAGTACCAAAAACTTGTGTTCTTGGCAGAGAATGGGAGACGTGGGAGGTAAACCCACAAGTTAACTTCATGATCTGTTATGGTTACAGGCATAGGATCAAAGAGGTTGGGGGGTCATGGATAGGCTAATAACTGGAGGCATATTCAAGTATTTTATGAGACTAGATTGGAGATTTCCCAGGAATTTCACAAACATCTTTTATCTCTTTTTCAATTCTTTTTTTAAAAATTCACTTATTTATTTTAGTGTGTGTGTGTGTGTGTGTGTGTGTGTGTGTGTGTGTGTGAGAGAGAGAGAGAGAGAGAGAGAGAGAGAGAGAGAGAGAGAGAGAGGGAAACCAGCAGGCAGGGAGACAGATGGACACACACACAAACACACCCCCCACAGAATGAATACAGAAGCCACAGTAGACTTCTGAAGGTCCATAAACAACCAGCTCAGTAATTGGTTCTCTCCTGTCACCTTGTGGGATCTGGGATGAACTCAGGTCTTCAATCCTACCTGTGGAGGCCTCTATCTTGCCTTTTTGGTACATTTTATGGCTCTTTCTGGCCATCCCTATAGCAACTGTTAGCTGTGTGATACCAAAGTGTCATGGAACACTCAATGTAGAATTTACTATAATGAAGTTAGAGGTGTTGTTTAGTAGCCACTCTGGCCCTTTATCTGAGACCCAGCTAGTTTTGACCAATCTACCTGAAGAGCCACCTCTGGCTTGCAGCTTTCTTATTATAAAAAAGAAGCCAAGTAAGAGCTGGGCAGAAGTCCTCTAGGTCAGCTAGATAGCACCGATGATTCTCTTCTGTCCTCCGCTCTCAAAGCAGTCTTCTTCTGTTTGTTTGTCTTTTTAATTAATTATTTATTTGTTGCTGTTGTTCTACATGCTAGGCAGGTGCTTTCCAATGAGCTAACTCTTCCCACGATGCCCAGTCTCATATAGATGTTAGGTTTGAGTCAGGGGCTAAGCAGACCACATTCGACGTTATCTTAAAAGGTACTAGTATGCCCCACCACGGGGAATTTGTAGGTCTCTGACAAGCTTCCAGGGCCCCTGTGAACTTCAGAAAATGCCAAGTCCCAGAGGCCCCAAAGCTCTCTATTATCACCTGCCCATAGCCCTCACAGTTGATTCTGGGCTCCCTCATGCTACGTGGAGGAGTAAAACAGTCTGTCTGAGTTTGTAAGACAAATTCCCTAGACAACCAGACTTGAGAGGAGTGACTGGTGTCTAAGAACGGAGAGACCTCAGACCTCAGACATCAAAGAGCCAAGGCACATCCCTCAGGGAGGAAAAAGATTAGTCAATTAACTAAACGAATGCAACTGGTATGGTATGAACGGACATCAAAGAAGAAGCCTGCTGCCTATGAGACTTTCGCCTGCCGCCATTGCCTCCAGCACTGAAGCATGAAATCTCACAATGAAGAGTAACTAACACAATTCTATGCTTTTTTTCAGTCTCTAGTGGAGAGCTGGAGGACAGTGTGCACTTTAAGTGAGTTGTAGCGCTGTACAAGAGCAATCTCCTGGGTAAGGGTTGATGAAACCCAGGAGCCTAGCGATGTAGAAAAATCTTTCAAACCTGTCTTCCCCATCTGGATAACTTGCAAGGCTTGGTCCCTGACAATGGCTGTCAAACTCAGGCTGTGTCAGCATTACCTGGCGGGTAGCTGTCTTCAGGGTTCTACCAGAGTGCTGGCTTCACTATGTCTGGGGTGAGGGCCAAGAGTCTGTGAATTGAACAGTTCCCAAGGAGTACATGTGGACATTGACCACACTTGGATGGCTCTGTGGCTGTGTTTGTTTGTGAGTTTTACAGGAGTCCAAACATGAGGCACTGGAAATCAATAAGGACAATATTCCTCTGGGATCTAATGGGAAAAAATAAACTAAGATTTCTCACATAAACAAGGAAAACAGAATCCAGTCAGTCTTAATTTAACTCAGAGTGGGGGACTCCTTATTTAGGTACCAAAGAAGGAAAGGGACAGATGCCAGTTAGTGACAGCTTTTCTTCAATCCTGCCTACTCTAGGGGCATCTGAGTCCTCATGACCTCACATGTTTGTTTTTCTATTTCAAAGTAAACAGGAGATATGCTAGTCTGTTTTAAAATATACAATCACACAGGTGAGATGAAATAAGTTGCCATTCACAGATACATCAGGATAAATCTGTCTGTCTGTCTATCTATCTATCTATCTATCTATCTATCTATCTATCTATCTATCCATCCATCCATCCATCTCTATACACCATCTATAGCTCATCTATCTCCCTCCCATTGCTCCTCTTACAGCAGCAGACTATGAACTGCTCACTGCACTTACTTTAGACCTCTGTGAAAGCAGGTTCCCTTTCACTAATATTGCTCCTAAAAAGTCCATCCACTGTTCCCACAGTTCCCTAGCACAGGAGCAACTGAGCCCAGCTTCTAAGATCCTAACCTCAACAACAACAGCATCAACAAAAATCAGAGAAACTAGCATGTACTTCCCTGTGTTGCTGTTGGGTAGCCTTACACTTAACTCTATAATGATGACTTTGACCTTCTGATTACCTCCTTTCAAAAAATTCTCTTAAGTTTTGACTTCCACATGTGGTCTTTCTCTATGGCTCACTGAACTTCTAGAACTTTCTTTTTTATCTGTGCCAATGGAGTCAATTACTGTACCTGCCTTGTAAATATTCCCCAGTGTGCTAATCTAGACTTTCTTCTTGTTTCAGTTTGCATAAGCTTCAGAAACTCTAGCCACACAATCTGATTTCCCTTTTTAGTGACTTTCCTTCTGAACCTTACACTTCTTGGCACATAGCTTTAATTTCAGCAGATGTGTATGTGTAGGCTCAACCCATTCCATTGAGAACTAGCCTTTTTTTTTTTTTTTTTGCCTACTCTGCCTTCTACTTGCATTTCTTATTTCTTATTTGTGTTTTCACCCATCATACAATCACTCGAGTCATAACACAGCTGTGGGCTTCATTCCATTTCTTGGTAACCACGCATTGACTTGGATAACCTGTTCACTAAGAAGCCACGGGCTCCATCCAGGTTTGGCAAACATTTTCTGAAAGGCCAAATAAACTTTGTTTGCATCGCATGCAGCTTTTTGCTGCAATCTCCCAGCTCTACTGCTTCCATTCAAAAGCTGCCATAGACAAATGGGAGTGGGTGGATTTCAGTACAAATTCATAGAAATAGGATGCTCAAGCCTGTAATTGCAGCTGTGTTTGCGGCTGAAGCAGGAGGATCACAAGCTCAATGGCAACTCACAGAGACAGTCTCAAAATAAAAGATGAAACTATAGCCTTGGAGACTTATGTCTACAGCCCAGTACCTGGGAGGCAGAGGCAGAGGATTGTGAGTTCAAAGTCAGCCTGTGCTACCTAGCAAAACTCTGTCTCAAAAGACTAAAAATACAAGAAGAAAAATGAAGGAATGAAGAAGTCACTTTTGGACTTCAAAGCCAGGCCCTATTTTTGTGTGTATCTGACTATTCCTTTCTCATTCCCATAGCAGGTGAGAGAATTAACCACTTCCCTTCTCAGAGGAGCCGAAAGTTCATACAACAACACATGAAGCATGTGGTTTTACATCAGGACCTGTTTGCCTGTACTTCCTTCCCCCTTACTATATGATACGAGCACAAGTTCTGTATTCTAGTCATCTGCATGTAGGTGTAGCAAGTCTAGCCTAAGGCCAGGCTTGTAGGGAGCTCTGTTTGCACCCCTGGGCTGACTTGAATTCCCCTGAAGAGTATTCCAAAGCTGCTTTCCAGAGAGATCTAAAATACTGACTCTTTCTATTTGAAATGCAGAAAGAACTTCCTGATCAGTACAGACCTTGGATGGAGATTGCCAACAAACTTGCTCACTTAATTGAGAGCCACCAGCTCCGGGACCATGTGTACAAGGTACATTGTTTTGTTCTCTTTACGCCACTCCCCTTGCCTCCCTCCATCCATCTTCATAGCCCTTCCTTCTCAGCTTTGTGGGGGTGGGAAGTTGACCTGGCAAGAGGAACTGATCACTGCCACGGAGACTGTCATCTTTGTCAGAGTGAGCAAATACTGGAGATGATGACTTCTTGGTCCTGGGAAAATTGGAGCCACCTCCAATTTTTAGTAAGGCATACTAGAAAAATATATTTTGATTCAGGAATTTCGTAGTAAGCATGAGGGCGCCTCATAATCTCACTTCCTTCTTTGATGAATGGAGGAAGTTCTCATCTCATAGCTGTGAGCATTAATGGCTTTCACAAGGACCCTTTCACAGTTCCTGCCACATAACAACATCCACTATCTGGGTATGACTTCCCATTTTCATCTCTGTCTGTCAGAAAAAGCTACAGGATTTCAGGGTTACAAGAAGGCCTTTCAGGACTTTCTTTGCTGTTGTTTAATGTCTAATTATGAATTGATTAAAAAATATTCATCGAGTGGCCTTCACAAGATATTCAGAGATCAGGACAGGCAGCTGGCCCCAGTAACACCCTATATAAATAGTCCCCCTTCAAAAACACCCATTGAGGCTGAAGACTGAAACTGACCCATGTAAGAAAGTACAACCCAAAGAGTTATTTTATTTTATTTTTGCACAAAATACATGCACAGCCTGCCAAGGAAGGGCTCACAGAAGTGATTTGTGCCCACTGTTGATACATCACACTAACAAAAACATCAAAGGGAGAAAATAAGATGGAGAACAATCTAAGAAAAGAACTAATGCTGACCAATCACATTCCATTATGCATAAAAACAAATGTCCTGTCTTATGCATATCCATCTTCCTAGACTTTGTATCAGTAAGCTCAAGAAGTGTTACACACAAGTACCCAATGTGTGTCAGAAACACGCAGCACCTCAGTGTTGAAGTCAGCAGGGTAGCAGGGCTGGTTTGAAGAGCCCTAGAATATTTACTGAGTTATGAGAAAAGAATATTGAGGTTAAATTTTCCAGGTTAAATACATAATCAAATAGTGTCCTATAATATTTGGTTAAATACACAATCCAATAATGTCCTTAGGAGTCAGTGTACTCACAAACATCAGTGTTATAATTTCCACTCAATAGAAATAATTGGCAGCTCAAAAGTGTAATTAACACACCATCACAGACAGTGGGCCAGCACACTAAATTGCTGATGTCAGTTCTAATCCATAGGTGGTATGGATGCCAAAGACCATTTCCTGATTTTAAAGTACACACACACACTTGGTATGCACAGATATACATGTGCCTGACATTTTACAGCCAATTTTAATGACTGTAAGTTTAACAGGTGCTTTTGAAAGAGACACCATTATCGAGAATCCAGCTGGACAGTGAGAACTGTAAATAAGGCAACTGAATGGTAGACTTTCTTTAACATCAGCAAACCAATGTGGAACAGCCTTTCCAAGAAACAAATGCTAGGAAAAGGAATAATGAAAATAAACGTGTGTGTGTGTGTGTGTGTGTGTGTGTGTGAAGCAACCTGTGGTTTCTCCCCCCTCAAAACACACACACACACACACACACATACACACACGAAAATGTCACAGTAAAACTCATTTCTTTGTGCTCTAAACAAATCTGAAACAAGAGCAGAGCTGAACTTGAAAAAGAAAACGAACTATGGAAAATTCCAGCATGTGTGGCCACTACATTCATCCCCGGAGGATAAGGAATGTGTGGCATTCTCCCTAACCACCTGAAGCCTTTTGTAAAGCAAAGGGATTAACTACAAAGTCCTTTCCGGTCCTTATGGTGGATTTTTGAGTCATATGTATGTTTAGAAGGTGAGGCTAGCAACCCTGACATGTTCAGAAAACACCCCCCCCCCCCAGTGGACCTTGTTCCTTTTATATCTAGGTGTCCTTCCTGTAGGTGACCTTCCTCAACACCTGAGATGTGGCCAAGGACAAAGTGAGAAGACAAGGAATAGATTTTCAAGAGTCTGAAAGACTTCTATAGTGATTACATGTTAAAATACATTTTATTTATTGACCCAGCAAAGCACATCATCAGAACTAATTTTACTTCTTTGTTGCTTGGAAAAACTATGGCTACTGGGAAATTTCAAACAAAACCTGTGACTCATGATTCAAGTGAGCATAGCTGTGGCCAGCCCTCAGGATCGCTTCATTCCTTCCCGACTCTGTGACCGAAGCAAATGCCCTGCGACAGTTTTGTCCTTTGGCTTCTGCTTGGGTCTTCAGCATCAAATTTCAGACTCTCTATTAAATTAAAGGTCTTGTAGCAAGTACCAGGTAACTACTGTCATCATGGGCTGCGCCATCACAGCCACAGGCAGATCCTGCCCCCTAGCGACACGAGGAGGGAGGAAGGGCTCTGCGCCCCATCTGCTAGTATGCTCCAGCTCACCCCTAGGAAGCCAGTGTCCCCAGGAGCTTCAAATGGCGCCTCCCCTCTGAGACGCCTGTGGAGCAAAGGGAGTGAAGCCCGGAGTGCCAAAGCCATGAACTGACGTCAGCTGGGCAGGACAGGGAAGCTGGTGTGGCTAGGCTGCCTACTGGCGCTGTTTTGCAGGGTGACCTTTCGGTGCCACCAGAAGCTGTGGTTTCCCACAGGACAAGGTGGGGACGGAGCTGGGTGGAAAGCCCCGTGACCTCATTTGTCTGGGCTGTGGGTGATTTACTAGGGCCCCAGGAAGCCTTACACCCAGTTGACCCATGGTTTTGCAGAGAGTTTACATCCCTGAGCCCATGGGATTTTACTCTTTTCATAGCTATTACAAGATTAAATGGTTGGAGAAGCTGGGCTCCAGCAGGTATGATGGGGCCAGTATGGAGGTCCTCTTATCTCAACCTCTATGCTTACTCTGGGACTCTCAATGCAATAGATGGAAACCAGGGCCTGGCCAAAACTGGACACAACCTCGGTGCTGGACCACATGGCATCTCCCACGCTGCTTCACTCTAAGAGCTGGGCTAAGTGGGTATGCATGAAGACACTTAGATGTCTGCTGAAAGCCAAGCAGGGTCCTGGTATCTGCGGGACACCCAAGGCATGGGCCCCCTGTCTTAGTCCCCACCCCCTTTAGATTTTAAACTGCTGATCTTAACTTCTCTTCAGTAGATGCCCCTCCTGGACTGCAGGTTCCTAACAGGTCACCGCGAGCAACGCCTGGCACACCTGGTGCTGGCCGCTATCACCATGGGATTCGTCTGGCAAGAAGGGGAGACCCAACCACAAAAGGTGAAGGGCTAGGAAAGGCCTATCAGATGATCCTGGGGTCCCTGCACCAAGAATCAAGTCACCAGCCACAGGTTCCACTGCCCAGTCTCCAAAAATCAGAAGGCCAGGAAAGGGTTAGGATTTTTTTCCCCTTGCTTGCAGAGCTGATTTTCTTTTAAACTAATGGCCAATTCCAAAGGCTCTCAATACTCCCATTCCAATAATGTGTGACAGCTTCCTTAGATCTGGGAACTCATAAAACATCCCGAAGAATTTTATAATTCTAAATACGTCAGTTACCTTGATTTTCATAATCACTCTGTTGCACAGACACCTGGGGAGCTGTCCCAAGTTCAAGGTCAACAGTGGGAAGGCCAGAGTATCTTGATTGTATGGAAGTATCTGGCTTTCCCCCAGTGACACATAGAGATGTGAACACTGCTTTTTCCCTTAATACAGCTTTCTGCCAAGCCTGCTGTTCATCAACCCTCTATCTAACTCTGTGTGACTTTCACGTTTCACTCTGTACCTGTTCTCAACCCATGAAGGAAACTAATATTGTTGTAAAAAAAAAATAAAAAAGCAGCACTCGAGAGACAGATGCCACAAGCCACAAGATAGGATTCAAGCAGAGGGTTTTTTATTTTTATTCTTTTTTTCAATTAGGGAAAGGGATCATAAAAGGGGAAAGGGGAGAGGAAAGTCCAGCCTTCAGAGATAGGAGGATAGGAGTAGCAGGAGAGAAGAGAGAGGAAAGAGGGGGAGAAAGAGAGAGAGAGAGAGAGAGAGAGAGAGAGAGAGAGAGAGAGAGAGAGAGCAGAACATAGAGAGGGAGAGGAAGAAAGAGAGAAGGATGGGAGGTAAAGGACCCTCTAAAAGGGAACACAGTGAATGTGCACAGGTGGTGCTCCTAGTGGCTGCAGCTGAGGGTGTGTCCTGTCAGAACCCCAAGGACAGGCCAGACAGATGCCTGAATGCTACAAATATCACCTTTCATTTCTTTCTTTTTTTTTAACAATCTTTTAATTTTATTTAATTATTTTCTTTCTTTGAGTCAAGGTCTTACAAAGTGGCCCCAAACAGTCTCCAGTCCAAGGTGTTCTTAAATTAATGATCTTCTTGCCTCTACCTTCCAAGTGCTGGGATTCCGGGCATGGGTTGCCCTGCCAGCCATGAGTTCCTTCTTTTTGTTATGCTTGTTGAGAGTGCTGGGATGGAGTCCAGGACCTGTGCGTGCTAGGTTAATACTCCGTCATTCAACAGGATCTCCAGCTATTTCCTTTTCCCCTTTTCTAAGTTTCTCTTTCCCAGAAAGCAAGGTCTTGCTTATCCCAGAACTACCCAGTTGCATGAGAAACCTGAGCTATGCTTTCCCAGGCTCATTGTCCCATGTGTAAATACCAGAGACGGGGAAGAAAGGACACCACAATGCTCTTTCAGATTCCAACACCATAGCATATTGTATCTCACCTTCAAAACTCAAGTGTCTAATGTTTGATGTTGGAAAGTTTAAATAAAACCTTGGCCAGTGACAACATCTTAACGAGTTCCCTTGCTGTATATACCCTAAACAACTCTCCTGAATTATGAGGAGGGCTAGAGAAGGGTGAGGGAAGCAATGTCCAGCCCCCAAGACCACTCCGAACTCATCACCCCTTTCTCTTGTAAGCCTTCCCTGACCCCCAGCTACCAGTCACCTCCCCATCCTTCTACCTTCCCCAGCCCCTGCCTTTCACAGAGGCTTGCCGCAGAGTCCCATGCTCTGCAGTGGCTCCCTACCTAACACACATGCTATCCCAGCTCCGAGGAAGAGGAATGGCAGATGCATGTCTTTAAAATGTTTTCAGTCCCAGGCTGGGGAGATGCTCAGTGGGCAAATCGCTTCTAAGCAGGCCTGGCACTGGAGCCAAGGTTCCCCAAAACCTACAAGAAAGCTGGTGTAGGCAGCAGTAAACAGGAGGTCACCTTGTCTCAAACAAGGTGGAAGGTAAGGTCAGCACTTGAAGTTATCCACTGACTCCCACACACTCAGCTTGGCAAGAATGTGCCTACATTCCCCTCTCTCTGTCTCTCTGTCTGCCTACCCCCCTCCACACCTCTCTAGTTCTCTATTTCTACATCTCCGTTTCTATAACTATGCCTGCTCTCTCTCTCTCTCTCTCTCTCTCTCTCTCTCTCTCTCTCTCTCTCTCTCTCTGTATGTGTGTGTATACATATATTAGTTATAATCTATAGTCTCTCTAGAGAACAATTTACACTTAGTCCTCAGTTTGCATTAAACGTTTTGGTGACACTCTACTTTGTACAGTTTTCAGAGGTTCTGTGCATTGTGTGTACATTTCCGATTTTTGCACCTCTTGCAAAATGTGTTCTCATAAACAGTATTCCCATTGGGTATCTCTCGGGAAGCGTGTGCAGGGTACAGGTGTGGACCACTCTGGGAACTCAAGCTTGGTCTCTGGGTCACTTATCACAGGCAATCATGGTGATTTTCCTCAGCCAACAGAATATTGTCTGGATTCCTGTCCTAAAGGTGCTGCCCAGAAGTCTTGCCATTCCTTTTGTTGAAGTCTCCAGAAAGTTGGGGCTCCCTCCTATCCTGGTCCACTCTGATCTGGTGCTGACAAACTGGACCAAAAGGAACCCAGAAGGGTAAGGAGAGAAAGGATTCTTCAGATATCAACAGATGAAGAGGCAGGAATGGGAGGACCCAGAACTTCACTTCACCTGTCTCCAAACACACACACACACACACACACACACACACACACACACACACACACACACAGGCTTAGGGCTGTTTTATAATGAGCTGTGTGTTCACATTCACCCTTTGCTTTACAGTGGGAGTGAATACACACATTTAAGCTGACGACATTTCTTCTTTGTGACCTCTAAGCACATTGGCCTCAGACATTTTTCCTTGTTGCTTCCACTTCACATCTGGATTTCTGAGTTTCAGCCTCCTGCGCTGTTTCTTATCAGCATGTGGGGTCCTCCCCTTTTTGCCCTCCATTCAAGTCAGGTTTAGGACTGGGTGTCGGGGAGTGTTCAATATGGTTATGAATGAATGACTCTAGGTATGTGGGATTCTGATGTACGCGCTAATTCCTCCTAGTTGACACCATTTCACAGTTGAGCCAGGCATAGAAGCATTTGTCTACTGACTTAAACAAACAAGGAATCCATGGAAACTTCATTTTCCCAGCCAAACTTGTTTCAGGTTGTAGACACAAGGCAGCATTTGCTTTTGTGATAAATTAAAACCACAAAGGGCAAGCTGAGGCTGCATATAAAGAGACCTTCCTTGGCATGATGGCTGTAGGTAGCAGTGGCTCAATCTTTGACCAGTTATACAGTGATAAAAAGTTGGTATGCATTGAAGGCTATTGAATCCAGCTTAGAGTTGGAATGGGTGAGATAATAAATACGTGTGCATGGATTATTGTGATGACTGCACTGTGATGACTAAGCTGGGTTTATGGTTCAAGGGAAAAGGAGAAAGGAAGTTTAAAAGGGAATGTGTCTGCTCTGGGGTGAGAAAGTGGAAAACAACCACGAGAAGTTAGTGTCCCAGCAAGTGAGGTGCAGGGCCCAGAGATGGAGGTACAGGCCCCAGGGCTCCCCAAGCATTTTTTGGGTGAATGTACTCCTGACATCTTTTAAGATGCCTACACAGAGCTTAGTGCTTTGCAGAAATGAAAGAAATAGAAGCAAAACACTCCCAAAGCAACTCAGTATTGAGACAAATTAGCACATGATGGATGTCAAAGAGCAACAGCATCTTTAGAATTCCAGGACAGCAGCAGGGAAAGTCCTAACAAGTGAGCAGGATTACAGTAACTAAGGTGGGTCTTGGGGTGAATGGCAGATGAAGAGCAGCAAGAATGAGTGTGTTCCTACACACAGACTTTGGGCTGTGAACTGAGACCTGGTTCTCACTGTCACTCAGTGGCTCATTGTCCAATCACAACCCAAGGTGTTCTAGGCCTCTGTGTGTGTGTGTGTGTGTGTGTGTGTGTGTGTGTACTAACATGTATGCATGCTTGGCCATTGTAAATGAGTGTGTGAGCCTGGGTACCAGGGACCCTAGAAATCATTTCTGGTTACCAACTGAGTTGTTCTTTTCTTTTTTATCTTTGTCTTTGCCAATCACTGACATGTGACCAGACCATGGGAAATCAGGTAAGATGTCCTTTTAGAGTCACTGCTACCTTTGTAGGCTTTTGATAGAACAAGAGGGGAAGTGTGTCAAGTTCTGTGGATAGCATAAATTCCCAAAACTCAAAAGTCCCAGCATTAGCAACCTTGTAGGAGTGAGGGAACTGATCTTTCTTAACCACATGCCCCTGTCAGTTTACAATAAAAAGTGCAGCATAAGAAAACAATAAACTGTAACTCTGTCACGGAGCCTAACAGTCTCACGGGGCTTTCTAATCACTGTATAACATCTTCGAAAGGCCAGGGGCAGGCAGGCCACAGTGACAGGAGAGTCACCTTGAAATCCCTTGTCATCTGGCAGACTGGGGCCCTTTTGAGTAGGTCTAGCCTACAGTCAAAGGCTCCGGCTTCCTCGTGGAGCAAAGCTGTCAGGGAAGCCACTTTTGTACCCTGTGCACATCCCCCTCCACCCTGTGAAGGGAGCAGGTGGGAGGGGTAAAGGCATCATTCCCCAGGCTAACACATATCTACTGGGCCAATGGCGCCTCATGACTCCCGTCTGTCCAGCTGTTGTGAAGTTTGAGTCTTGGATTTGCTTATTCTTGTGGAAGATGAAGCAGATGCATGGGTGGGGTTAGCTTTGGGTTTTGTAGATCAGATCAGATTTGAATCAGATGGGACAATGTCAGGTTGATTAGAAATGACCTCTCCTGATAGTCCTCAAGCCCAGCTCTGTGACAACATTTCATGCTAGGTTGGGACTTTAGCCAGTTATGGAGACAAACACTCGTAATCTTTACATTTGACAGGCAGGTGCAGGAGGATTATGAATTTGAGAATGATATGTAATAAATGGTGAGACCCTGCCTGACAAACAAACAAACAAACAAATAAAACCCAAGGGGAAAAATGGGGTGGTGGTTGTGATGGAGAGAAGGGCTAGGTTAAATTCTTAAGGTGTGCTGGGTCAGCTGGCCATGAACAATCATTTATGTGTCCCAGGATAAGAAGATAAGCTGTCTCACTTCTCTGAGCTGCAGTTTCAGTTCCATAAAAGGGAACATGGGATTCACTTGGAACCTTCTAGCTCCAAGACCCCTTAGTTTTAGACAAGAATGATGGGATCCTGAAGGACCAGAAACCTCTTGCTAATAATGTCCCAATATGGCTGCTTCCATTGGGGCAAAGGTTGTGGATCATCAAGACCATGGTAAACATCCAGAGTCCTCGGCTCAGGGGAACTTGGCTCTGACTGACATGGTCATCCTCTTTCCTGGTGGCTTCTTTCTCTCAGGAACCTTGAAACCATCATCTCCTTTCCCGGGGGAGAGAGCCTACGGGCCTTCATACTGGTGACTGTTTTGGTGGAGAAGGCAGCGGCGCCTGGCATAAAGGTATCCCCTTGCTTCATAGCCCCCTCATCTTCAGCCACATGCTCACACTGTCCTCTCCTCGTGGTGGTTTTCTCCCCATGGACAGACACAGGCTTTCTCCTGCTTGGTCCAATATGGAGGAAGAGATCTGAGTCCTTTCCTGTGGTGTCAGCATCCTGTTAGTATGGTGTGAACCATTCCTCCATCTACACATAGGCATCATAGGCAGGGTAGGATGGACACCCACTGTTCATGGTTTTGTAGAAGCTAGAGTCACACGGGTTAAAAAGAAAAAAATTAGGTGTTTTACAAAGAGATGGATAAAAGCAAATCCATGTTTGAAGAATCAGGCAAAGTTCCCCCAGAACTGGCAGCTCAGTTAAGACCCGAGGGATGTGTGTGTGTGTATGTGTATGTGTGTGTGTGTATGTTGTGTGCACATGTGTATGTGTGCTGTGCACATGTGTGTTTGAGTGTGTGCGTGTTTGTGTGTGAGTGCATGTGTGTGTGAGTGTGTATATGTGTGTGTGAGTGTGTGTGTATGGTGTGTATATGTGTGTGAATTTCTTACAAGAGCAATTCTGCACTCTCAGAAATGGGCTCTTTCAGACAGCAGGCATCACCAAGGTCACCCAGGTGACCTAGCCCTGGGGTTGCAAAATTCATCCCCCCCCTCCATTCAAATCCCATGGGTTCTGACAGGGCTGGGTATAAGATAATAGACAATGAAGTGGGAACATTCATATCTCACTTTTATCTCTAGATTTAGCTGGATTTATGGCTTTACTGACCGCCTGCTGTTCAGCAGAGTGTCCAGTCCTGGCATAATTCCTGCAGAACTTATTTGCTCTTAAAAGTGAAAGTAGGACCCCGTGTGTAGCTCCATAGTCAAGCAGGAACATAGCCTGTGTCAGCCCTGGGTTCCAGCCACATGCACACACTGTAGTGAAATCCTGTGGCTACTCGAGTCCTCATCCATTTGTCTTGTCCAATGAAAGATTCAGCATCTGCCAGTAGTAGGGAAAGTAGTGGGACTGAGGAAGTGGATCTCATTCCTAGGCCCTGGTTCAGGGAGTGGAGGCCCTTCTGCAACAAAGTCAGGACACCCTGCTCCAGGCCCTGAAGCAACTGAGACTCTCCATCCAGGACGTCACCAGAGCCTTGGCCCAAATGCATGGTAAGAAGGAACGGAACTGGGCAGGGCCCTACAGGGATGACAGTAGAGCTCTCCACAAGGTGGTGCTAGTGTTCCACCTTAGTTTAGCATAAACCAAATTGCTCAGAGAACAATTTTTCAGGTGATAGAAAGAAAAATTGTTCTGTGTATATTTTCCTGTGATTGTGGTCATTTGCCTTCTTCAGGGTCTAAATACGCTGAGCTTTTGCAGTAGCCTGGCAGATTGGGTGGGTCACAAGGGCGATGTTGCTTGGGTGAACTTCAGTCTCCCTGGTTAGGCTGCTGAGAGCAAGGCTGTTGGGTAGAGGTGTCTGCAAGTCCCTCTCTGTGGGTTCTGAGACACCTGAACCTGGTTTTAGGCTTCTGTGACCTAAACTAGTGCTGGCAGGAGCTACAGAAGGAAGGCGTAACTGGTGCCTCCTGATGGACACAAGGAAATAGAATTGAATTCTTATCTCATAATATATGCAGATAACAATAGATAAAAACTTAAGTATGAAGGATAACGATTTCAGAAGAAAATATGGGAGACCATATTTCCAATCTGCTCTTACTGAATCATTTCTTATGTAAGAGTTCATGAACAGTTCATGGACAGTCCTGTGACAATATTTCAGTTAAGGATTTTTGCTTGCAAAAGGCATTACGCAAATCTTACTTGGACCACATGTAGTTAGCAGCCATCCTACCATATGTAAGGTGTCCACATGTCTCCTGAGATGAGAGGTCACTGTGGAAGGTTGGCCGGCACCTGCTAAGAATCTAAGAAAGGGTTTCAGTCTGACTCGGCTGTCAATCTTTACTTGTGCCACTCTGTGGTCCATGAATCAGAGCAGGTGACACAGGGGAGGGAGAAGGTTTTGGAAGGGATGCTATTGAGGCTCGGGAAAGAGACATGAAGGTGTCAACCAAAGGAGCTGATGTAAACAGTACTCAAGAAAGCAACTCCAGTTAAGTGTGGTGATGAAGTGCTGCCACCCACAGCCACTGGAAAGCAATGCAGGGCTCCTGCTAAAGCAAAGCGAAGTGAAGCAAAACAAACAGACAAAACAACAACAAAAAACCCACAAGAAAATCGTGAAGGAGTCAAGGAACTACCAGGAAAATACAAAGCCAAGCAGGAAAGCAGTTCTGTCGGGAAACACATTTGCTAATCCTGAAGCACTTTGGCTCTGGGTGACTAGGGCAGAGGAAAGGCCTTGAGTAATAGCATCCCTTGTGTAGTGGCATCTTGCCAGTGAATTTGTGTTAGTGGCCACACCTCTTCGGGCGTGGCTTCAGGTGCAGATACGCCCCCTGGAAGGTAGAGAAGGCGGGAAAGGCTCTCTCCTGTTGTGGAGAGCATCGGAAGGGCAGAGATGCATCTTCTGGAGCAGGAATGCTGGGGCTGTTCTTTACTATTATCTGTGTAAGTTGTTCCCCAATAAAACACCCATTTAACATTTATCTTGGTCTAGTGAACTCATTAATACCCCACCTTCAGCCTTGGACTTACTTTAGGGGTAAAATTCACCCCATAGCCTTCTGGCATGAACTCGGCATCTGCCAATGCTGATTTGTCTACCTTCAGTGTGAGGCAGCCCCACCCTGCCCAGCTCACCGCAGGCAACAAAGTGGTCTTGATACATGACAAAGCAAAATTAAAAAATTAAAGTAATCTGTCCCAGAAGTTGGGGTTGTATGATGCCATGATGGCATGCTTCCTTAGGTAGGAGTCCATAAAGAGTGGAATCCACCCTCTCCAAGCATGGCTGCCCATGCTGGTCAACGCAGTTTGCAGCTAACAGCTCTGTTGACAAGTGACAACCCACGGGAAGCCCTAGGTTGACACAGGAACTTCTGGACATTGGTCATTGCTCTTACTTCGCCTGTTGATAGGGGGTGCTCTCTGCTTTTCTTTCCTCTCTCACATTGTGTCTATTAAAATATTACTTTTTAAAAAAGATAGTCTTAATCTCTTAGTGGTGTTGGTGAAGTAAACCAAAGTATTCCAAACAGAGGAGGCAAGCATACGGACTGGATTAACAGCCCCGCGAGGGCCCATGCCCTTGGCAAGGGAACATTCCATCTGTTGCTTCCATTCTGGGCTCTGCATAGTTCAGATAGAGGTGGGGGAGCCTCAGGAAAGCAGCAGGGTCCAGGCACATGTGGCCAATTGCTTTTTGCCCGTGGTAAGGTTCACATTTGATTGTTTTCCAGATTATGTAGACCCAGACATATTTTACACGGTCATCCGGATCTTCCTATCCGGGTAAGTAGGGTTCAGTTGGCTTCCTGCTTGAGACCTCCACACACTTTCCCAAATTTGTATGAGGATAGACAGACAGACAGACACTTCCTACAGTAAGAAATAGAGCAAGGGACCGAAGCTGGCAAAGTCACCACTTGTGTCTGCTCTAGGGGGATGGAGACCTTGGGTCTGGGGTTCTCTAAGGAAAGGTCTCTAAGCCTGGGTACTTATAGGCAAGGGGTTGTCATTAGCTGCCAGCCTGGAGCCATGGATCCTCTTAGGAGCCCAACTTGATGACAGGGGAAAAACAAAGGAGTGGAGAGAGGGGTATGGAGGGGAAAAGAGGAGGAGGAGAAGGAGGAGAATGGAAGGGGATAGAGGGAGAGGAAGGTCAGAAAGCAATAGTCATGGTTTTCCCTTTGCCCTTTGCCCTTATGAGGGCATAGCATCCAGTGACTCATCTGTAAACCAGAGTCCAGGTCTGTACCAGACCAAACCATTGTTTCCTTGCTCTTAGACTGCCTGGCCTTCAAAGTTGTGGGGAATACAGTCTGGTCATTTTGCTATGTGGTAGCAGGAATAATCTCAGGCCCTTGCTAAGCCATTCTTCACTGATTCTGGGTACCTTTGTTTTGTCTCATTGCTATACGATTCCTCCCATATGCCCATGTTTCTCCTTCCCTCCCTCCCTCTCTCCCCACCTCTCTCTCTCTCTCTCTCCTCTCCCCCCCCCCCACACACCATTCTTCTCCCAGTTATCCCTACCTTGATATTCCTTAGTCAGATTGTCATCCAGTTCACCAACTCCCAGAGTCAAGTCAAGTCACTTTGGAATGTCTGTGTCTTGTTGACTTGGAGGTGCATGGGATGCTGTCAAGAGAAAGAATCTAAGCAGTGTCTGGACACAGCAGGAGACAGAACAAATGCTTAATCTATAGTGCCATGCCCCATTGTTGAGAATTTTCAATAGACTTGTCTTTAAAATGTCAGTTTCCTCACTCAGCATCTGCCTTGCTTTTGGTCTGTGATTTCTCATTTGCTTCTTAAAATATACTTTTATTTATAAGATGATTCCATGTGGAAGTGAGATGTGCTCCCTTCAGTTCCCAGACCATCACAGTTCCCAGGAAGGCCAGGAGCTCCTCTGGGGGGAAATGCCACTTCACTTTGTTGTCTCCTTCTACTTCCCCTTTCCTTGGGATTGCTAGAAATAATACCAGAAAGGCTAAAAATAGCCTTATCATAGAGACCAGAAATGAAAACAGCCCCATCCCTTCACAAACAGCAGCCCAGCCTGTGGGTGATGCTCACCTCCTTGGTCTCCTCAGCATCTCTCACACAGATGGTGAGTCTCACACAGCTGCAGCGTGTGGTGTGTGAAAGCACACCCATCCTTTGTCATCTTCCCTCTGCTGGTATTTCCTGCATCACCTCCAACATGGCTGGCTACAGAAAAACCACTCCTGTGTGTGGTCAAAGGGCCATATCCGATAGTTCCCTTAGCCTAGTTGGGCATTTTCAAGCACTTGGTTTGAGTCATGCTTGATGGGGATTCTGGAACAGTGGGGGCTCCCTCCTGGATCCCGGTTAAACACAAACCACACCCAAACACCTGCTTCCAGAGAGACCAACCCTTTATTAAGTAGGGAAGAAAAATGGCTGCTTTTTGACTCAAGCAGAAAATAGCAGCAAATGACCCTGCAGGTGTTATTTTTAAGAGAAGTCTGTGTCAGAATGGGCTTGGATGCGGTGCTAAATAAGATAGAGGAGAAGGAAAGGGGACAGGATATTTGTCCCAGAGTGACAAAGGACTGCCTCTCCATAGAGAGGAGACAGACTGGCTCATAGGAAAATGACAGTTCACAAGGGTAAATGGGGGGAACCCTGTGTTAGGATGAGGTGTTTAATTCTGACTGGATATGTTAATTAGGTGAGCCAAAGGGGGCTTTTGATTGCCAGATTTCAACAATTTGATAGCTAGATCTTGGTAGTCAGTCTCAAGAAGAGAAATTGGTCAAAGAAGAGAATGGACCTTGGGGGCTAGCTTTAGGAATGTAATCTAAAGGTTTTTAAGCAGAGGGAATGGGAGAGAAGGGCAAGGCCTGCCAGAGCCTACTTATCACACCCAAGCTGGCCAGAGTCCCTTCAGTACTGACTTGTGGAATGCTCATATTTCATTCATTCCTTCATTCATCAAATAAATTTATGGTGAGGGCTTACTACATTCCAGACACTGTTGTACTTGCTGGAAACAGCAGGGAAAAGAGCAATCACGTGGCCCTTGTGGAGCTTATGACTTCAAGATGGCGAGAAGATGCTAAGCAAACAGATGTAATCAAAGCAAACATCCTACAGTATATGTTACCACTTGAGGCTGCTTGGGGCAATGCTGGGGGGGGGGATGAAGGATACTAGGGAGGGACAGCTAGGTGTGGTGGCTCAGGTATCTTGTCTATTGGGATCTAGGAATACCACATTCCAGGTGATGTGTGAACAGATGTGCACAGGCAATGGAGCAGGCCATGTGGATTCCTGTCCAAGCAAAGGGAATGATGGTTATGACCTTGAGGAGGGAGAAGGTGTGAGGAGCAGGGTCAGGTGTACAGGAGAATGAGGAGGCCAGCCATTGTGAAAGCCAGACAGCATGGGCCGTCCTGGCTTCCTTTCAGGGTGGCACAGTCAGAGGATAACTAGTAAGCTTCAGGATTGAGTGGGGGTAGAATGGTGGAGGACAAGGTTGGAAAGAAGGTGTTCAGGGTTGGACCAAGGGGAAGCAGCTGAGCTGGAAATGGTTGTCAATCAACTTGAAGGTGAGGGAGGAGTTGGAGGGTATGAATCCTGTGGGTCCTCACGCAGACCACAGAGAAGCGGGAGCATACATGTGCACATGCCTTCTCTTCACAGATCCCAGCACAGGTGCTGGTGTGGACCAGGTCCATTATCCCCACAGCAGTTATGTCTATAACATTCTCCAGTTTCACTAGCCCTGAACTCTGATTCTTTGAGCTGTTCACAGACCACTCAACTCCTGGAATGGGTTCAGGAAGCAGGTTTCCCTACAAACCAGGGAAATGGAGGCTCAGAAAGGCCATTGTGACAGAGATGAGAGCATCAGCAGGCATTCTTACTTCCTGGGGTTGCTAGACAATAAATGGCTGGGGCTTGCTAGATGTTTCGTAGGTTTCAGGCAAATAGTATTTGAGTTAGTTCTTACAGTGACCAGCAAGATAAGTATGAATGTCAATGCAAAACACAGCTCTTAACAGAAAGGAATAAGACTCAGTTTAATTTGTGGCCAAACGTTAGTGCCCAGAAACACAGATTCAAGTTGTTCCAAAATAACATAGTCCAATGTGGAAATGAATGGAAGAGATCTTGTACTTCAAAGACAAAAAGTTACCAACAAAGGGATTGATTGTGTGGGTATACTGATGGGACCTTAAGTAGGCAAGCTATAGGAAAACTCTGTCCATAGGTCACATATAGATGGTGTTTGATGGTACTCTCAGCTTTGGGGTGGTAGAAACTTGTTGATACTAAGTCAATACATTCCCAAGAGTCATAGAGATAGAAGGTTAACAGGAGGGAGTCAAAGCTAGCCCAGTGCCATTTGGCTGTAGGTCTTCACCATTCCAACTCTCCATGACCAGCCAGCCAGTCAATTAGCCTTGTAGATCTTTAACACAGGCATGCCCCCCCCCCAGGATCTTCAGTTCATACTAATAATACTCAGATGAGGGTGCCAAGAGCTTAAATGTGATAGGTTAGGCCTAACAACTAACCCAGCAAATTTGAGCTTAAATTCTGTGTCTTCCTAGAATAGAGGCCTTGTCTTATAGTCTGTGAGAACACCCTTCCTGTGTATCCTTCCTGAATGTGACTGCCAAAGTTGATAACCATGGACATTCATGAGGCAGTTGACCCCAAGCAGCCACCAAATATGGCAACCTGTTTCCTTGCTGACTTTGCAAGAAACGGTCCAAGTCCAGGATGTGGCAGTGGGGGGGCTAGAGGGTGCAAGGGGAGGGGGCTGTGGGTGTTGAATACATGGGGTCCACGTGTCCCTTCTCTGAACACAATGACTTAGAATAACAGAGACACTGGTACAAACCTGATACTTACCCTGTCACCCAGATGCTTTGTTCATCGGAAAACAGAAAAATATGCTTCTTGGTGAAGGTAGAAGTCTATATGGTAAAGTTCTCAAGGAAAGGGACTCCAGACTTGCAACTTTGGAATGCAAGTTGAGTGTGTCAAGTCCTGTTATGCTGACAGTCTGGGAACTTAGTTCAAGTCTTTGTTACTTTAGGAAGGAAGGTAAAGCTTGCCTAGCTTCATCTACTACCAAGTGGCCAGGGTGAGAGAGTGAGTATGTGTTTGTCAATTGTAGGCACCACAGGTGCCAGGGTATTGGGCCAAGAATAGGAAAAGTCATGGGGGTATAAGATAGAGAGAGAGGTGGAAAGAGAGGGACATGGAAAGGACAGAAGGGAAAGGAGGGACATTTGAGGATGGGCCCCAGGCTTTTCCTTGAAGCTATCTGTAGGCTCTGGTGCCCACACCTTGGTTATATTCCTGTTTTTTTGTTAGTCATGCTTGCCACCAATGCCTGCTGTGACAAACCCAACCCGTTTGATAATATTTATTTCTCAAGGAGCAATCAAAGCCAAGCCATCGGTTTAATGCTATGAACATTTCAAAGTGTTTCAGGGGATAACAGTTAAGTGTCTGGGTGTGCTTGTGTGTAATTGAGTTGCTGTATTTGTGGGAGCTGTTTGACACACTGATGTGAGATTTGTCTCTCTGGAAGAATCCTTTAAATGGGGCAGAGTAGGGCTCCAATACCTTGCATGGCATGGTGTGAAGCTGAAGTCAAGCTAACACCTCCTTGGATACTCCCGCAAGATCACTATTCCTTCCTCAAACCACCTTTAATGCCACACTCTCTTCCTCAATGGCCCAGTGTCCACAGCAGAGAAGGCACTGTCCCCTGGGGGCATTCCTCTCATTCTTTTCTTTTCTGGTCTTGCCTAGGTGGAAGGACAACCCAGCCATGCCTGTGGGGCTGGTCTATGAGGGTGTGGCCCCAGAGCCTCTGAGGTACTCCGGAGGAAGCGCAGCCCAGAGCTCTGTGCTTCAGGCCTTTGACGAGTTCCTGGGCATTGAGCATTGCAAGGAGAGTGGTAAGCAGCACTCTGATCTCACCTAGTCCCTCAAGAGAAGAATTAGGCAGAATAGGGAGGTGCTTTTTACTATCTTATAAAACCAGGTGTAATTGAAAGCGTCCTGAAATTTGTATTTGCATAAATCACCAGGCAGCTGTGTGCCTGTTAGTCAATGCAGGGCCTCAGATATCATCAGGATCTTGAGTTTGTTTCCAAGTCTTAAAAGATAGCTAGGATCTCAGCTGTTCACTGCTATGTGGGCTTGGGTTGTTAGTCTGTAAATTCCAAGTCTAGGACCTTGTGTGGCCTAGTCTGCAGCAGCCAGTAATGGGTCTGAACTTGTCTGTTGATGTCCTTCCCATGAAATGGCCCAGCCTCCCACTGAATCCATGTGAGCCAGAAGAGGGAGCCCATCACTTTGAAGCTTTTAAAAATAGTTATCACTTTGCTTGCCAGCATAGAGCTATGCCCTTAACAGCTACAAAAAAGTATTTCATGCTACCAAACTTTAACTTGGACCAGAACCAAATTGAGACTCTTGTCTCATCTGCACTGTTTTCTGGAACGTTCAGGGTTGTTCCTGGATTTCAGTAATCGATGTCAGCCACTGACTCTCTATAGACAAAACAATAAAAAGCAAAAACAAATGAAAGAGAAAACCACATTAATTAAAGTTGTAATCAGTATTTTGGTCTCTCTGGGTTTTTACTAAAATAACCATTTCCCAATATCTTTTCTTTGTTCTTGGTAACCTGTATTACTCTGGCTCCATACCCCCCCCCCCCAGTCTCCCTATAAGAAGCATCTAGCAAACAGAATCACTAGGGCATTCCCCCAGTCAGTGCAAGGGTTTGTGCGCATGCTTGTAGACATTGCTCATAGCCCTTAGCAGAAAACGCTATGTCATTTATGTTTGGTTTGGGATACGTACACCCTGGCTAGTAGATTCCTGCGCAACTTTATTATCTGAGAGATGCTTGCTTCTGTTTCTTGTCTGCATCTCCTGTCAACAAGCAGAAATGTACATCCGAGCATTTGACAGCTATAACAAAAGCCCAACTAGACTGAGTGAGATGACTATCAAACATTTCTGGTACCTGTGTGTCTGGAGCAGCAGGCAAAGGCCCTGTATCATCAGCCTTGAGCTAAGGTGTTATTCTGGGCTATTTCTTTTAGTGGGTTTTCTGCAAAGAATGAGAGACTACATGCCTCCTTCCCACAAGGCCTTCCTGGAGGACCTCCATTCATCTCCTTCGCTGAGGGACTACGTATTGACCTCTGGTGCTGGGTGCTGCCTGATGGCCTATAACCAGTGTGTGGAGGCACTGGTAGAGCTACGCAGTTACCACATCAACATGGTGGCACGCTACATCATCTCTGCCGCTGCCAAGGCCAGGAACAGGGTGCTGAGCCATCTCTCATCCCATGCCTTGGAGGAAAGGGGAACTGGGGGCACTTCAATGATGAGCTTCCTGAAAAGCATCAGGGAGAAGACGGTGGAGGCCATCCTGCATCCTTGTGCTTAGCAGTTTACATCCTGCATCCTTGTGCTCAGCAGCTTACATCCTGCATCCTTGTGCTTAGCAGTTCACATACTGCATCCTTGTGTTTAGAACCAGAGTTCTGCCTGAGCTCAAGCATACTTTTGCTCCAAAGAACACCATGTTCTTTGTTCATAAGCTGTGATTCCCACTCTGACCCCAGCCCCAGCCACTTCGCTTGCTAGAAACTTTTCTGCCTTGCCCAATCCCTCTGCCTCACAGCAGAGAGCTAAAACCATGTCTCCATTCAGTGGGCAAGTCAGATACCCAAGCTCAATTTAAAAAGAATCAGGTTGCCTTTGGGCACGTTACCTCATCTTTTCCCAGGCTGGACCGCTTTCCTGCTCCTCTCCTTGTTCCCTTCTTCTATCACCCCCATTCCCTCCTTTTATTGTCCTCCAGGGTTACTCCCCTTTCACCTTCCTCCCTTGCTCCTCATCCACCTCCCCTTCTTCTCTCCATTTTGGCTTTGAAACAGGATCTAACTATGTGCAGATCCACTCTCAACTAGAACCTGTGATCCTCTGCCTCAGCCTTCTGAGGTTATACATATGTGTCCACTGCTATGGACTTGTTCATTTCTTCCCTTTTGCCTACTGGAGATTACGAGTAAGGTTTTGTATATCCCAGGCAAATGTTTCACTATAGAGCTACAATCCCAGCTCTCTCTGTTTCTGCTTTTGTCTTATGAGTGACTTGGGCTGATGTTGAGCTGTTTAGTCCAGGCGAGCCTTAGTCTTTGTACAGCTGGGTTGTATAGGAATGAGTCACTGAGCTATGCTGCTGCTGCTGACTTTGATGACAGTGATGACAGCAATAACAATGATGGTTGCATTCCCTCTTCCTCTTTGTCTATTTTTGGCTTTTGTTTTGAGACTGGGTCTTACTATGTTTTAACTCAGATTGCCCCCCATCGAAGCCTCCCCAATGCTGGAACTCTAAGCAGGAGCCACCACAGCTGACTGTAGATCTGCTTATTTCTCCAAGTTCCTACTGTGCTCTACTACAGAGAATTTGGAGAGCCCTCTGTGACCTGGGAGAGCCTTCTCCTTCCTGTCCATGCTGAATTCAATGTGGGGGTTTAGGTGGTCCTGTGAAGGTGTGTGGGGTGGGGTCCCTGAGTATTCAAACCTAAAAGTTGCCAGCACTGGGGACTCTCAGCTATGGATTTGGAACTGATGTGTCTTCCCCAAACGGTGTAGTCATTGTGAACTCTATTTTAACTCCCTGCTCTATTTTTAGGACAGTGTTTTTCTTTTTCCTAGTGACACTGGAATTTGTATTTGAAAAATGTTTTAATTGACCCTTTGAAAGCAAGCAAGCCAAATAGGAATAAATAGTAAGTCCACATGTTTCAAATAAAAATAAATGTAGCTTTTATTTTTGAAGTTTCTAGCTCAACATCTTCCTCTACCTGGCTGCAGAAAACTGGGGACCACACAAGTTTGAAGTCAATTCCATTGGTTAGGGTTCCTCCACTTTTCAAGGGTGTCTGTGTGCACACACACCTGCATCTATCAGACTTTTGTTCCATGGTTCTGTGGAGGAAGGGGACATCAGTGAAGACCATCTGATCATCGTCCAGCCTCTTCCAAATTTTGTCCCCTGTATGGATCTGGGTCAGGTGGACTTAGCAATCCAGTTCATCCTATCTGATAAACCTTTCAGCCCCCATAGCTCTGTTGTTACATAATCACTTTGACCATAAGGACCCATGCCTAGGGTCTCTGCTTTCCAGTGCCTAGAGGGAGAGAGAAGGCTAGCTCCAAAAGAGGACTCAAGCCAGGTCCTACATCAAGACATTGGGGCTCTTCCTGCCTCACATCCTCTGGCTCCGTCTGGCAAAGACTGGGAGGTACACATGATTAGGCTAAGGGCTTCTCAGAGACCCAGTGCCATGCTCCTCTGCTACTGCTGTTGCTGCTCCTATTTCTGGTGTAGGGCTTAGCAGTGCCCTCAACTCTTGTGCCCTTCAGAGATTCAGCCCTGACGGCTGAGCTTATGATGGCTCAAAAAACAAACAAACAAACAAAAGCCATTTCTCTCCACCAACACCCTTGTCTCCTGCGGACATCTCTTGCGGTTTCACATAAGGGCCACATGTACCTATTTATCTGGAGTTTTCTCTGGGATGAACCATCTGTGCTGTGGGTCCAGGAAGTACTGGGATAGAAAATAGTTACCTTCACACTCAAGCTCCTTGCTGTTCTCAAAGAGTGGGAACTTCAAGATTGGACCTAACTTGCAAGTCTATGGTTCTCATTTTTGTGGTTTTCAATCAGTCCCAATAAATAAACCAATCCTCCGTTTCTTATTTTTTATGAAACAAAGATATCAAGTCTCAGGGTAGATATAAAGGAATGTACAGAGTCTGGGTCAAAGTGTGTTGTGAAGTGGGGGGGGCTCAGGTGTGTTTCTCAGATGTGTTCTTCATTTGGGAGTGCTGGGGGTAGAAAATAGTAAGGGTGTGGTTTGAAAAAAGCCTGGATTCACTTCAGCCTGTGCTACTTGCTACACTGGTAGACGCACTGCTTGTGCGCATGTCCATGTACCTCCTTGTCTGTATGTGAGCCATACTAGTGCAAGTGACCACAGAAGCCAAGAGAGGACACTAGGTCCGCTGGAACTTGAGTTTCAGGTGATTGAGAGCCACCTGCTGTGGGTGTTGGGAACCAAACTGGGTTTTCTGCAAAAGCAGCAAGTGCTCTTAATTTTGGAGCCATCTCCCCACCTTTGCTTTTATTTGTTATTTTTAAAAAATCTCTTGTAGTTGTGTGGTCAACACTAGGACACTGAGCATGCTAGAAAATGCTGAGCTGGGTCCCAGCCCTGAGTACAGAGTCTCCTAACAAATGTCTAAACTTTTGTTCTGAGGATGTTGTTGAAGGGTGAACCCTCATCTGTGGAGACAGGGCTAGGCCTCAAAGGCCAAAACTGTGTGCATGTAACCCTCATAGCCTATGTACTAGTGCAAAAGACAGGAAGACCCTGGTTCCTTAGAAAGCTGTGTCCCTCACAGCTTTGGTTATCGTTAAGAAGAGGACTAAAGGCTCAATGCAATTTTAAGAGCCAGACAACAAAACCATGAAAGCAATAAAGTTAAGGTATCAAGATGGTGCTTTCAGCTCTAGTCTGCCTTGACTCCTGAGCTAGCTCTGAGTCAGCCTTCAAAAGGGACCCAGCTCTCTTGGCTTTCAAAGTGCAAAGTCAAGACAGCAAGTCCAAGTCCCATGGACTCTGTCTTCTCTGGCTCATTTGAAAGTTGTCATTCATTGTTTCCAAGTAAGTGTTAAAGTAAAGCCCATCCAGACAGAAAAAGGAGAAGAGAAGAGAGAAAAGAATGAAAGCTAACTCCAGCTGTGCATGGGACACAACTTTCTAAGAAACCAGGGTCTTCCTGTCTCCTGCATTGCTCACTGGGGCAATGGGCTAAGAAGGTCTTGTGCACACAGTTTTGACCTTCGAGGACTAGCCCTGTCTCCATAGATGCCTTCACTGGCATCCTCAGGAAGGAGGGGAAGAGTGAGGGAAGGAGAAAGAGAAAAGGAGTTTCAAGATTATATTCCAGATGTGATTTAATTTTTAGATAGGGGATAAACTGTTCTGTACCTGCTAGTCAGTCATTGCTTCCAGAACAATGAACCCGCACCGAATGCAGCCCTGCCCATTCTTGCACACAGATGTTGTGTTTGCTTTGTTAATGGAGAAGATGCTTGTCTTCCTCTGCTCATTTAACAGTAAACTTAATAAAGAAGTCGGATTTCACTGCTTTCTGAGACGCAATTGCTAGTTACTTGCTGCAGTTTAGCATCTGCTTCCTACAAACATTTAAAAACTGATTTCTTGAGTGTAAGCATCATCAAAAAATAAATGAAATTTTCTGCAAAGTCATTTGCTTTATAAACTTACAAATCTTTGGGGGCCTCGTGCCTCTGCAGAGCTGGCATGCCAAGCCCATTGCACCTTTACTTTTAATCGCTCAATGGCTTTGTCCCCTCTTGCAGATAGGTACCTGTGGGAATTTTTCTGCACTCTGTAGGAAAGCATGTGCAGAATCCAGAATCACCATGATTGCCCTTGGGGCAGCAATCCTATTACTGGACTACACTGCTTTATAACTGTGAAGTGTGTATAGAATTTACATGTCAATGTCCCCTTGCACTCTGACCCCAAGCCTAGCCAATATTAGAGATGGGAAGGGCTTTTGATTGCACCAGGAGTATTGGGCCAGAGACTTTCCCTTAGAACTGGTGACATTTTAGAGCCAAACGGGCACACAGCTTTTCTAGCCAAAATATTCAGATTATTTATTAAGTATGCGATACCTGTTACTTTATCATCTATTAATATTATTTCTAAAACACAAATACTTTTATTTTAATCTCACCTGTCAATTAACAGTAGTAATTAATAGTGTGACTAATCAAATATACAAATAAAATACATATGTACACACTTGTTGGCATTGTAGTTATCTAAACATATAGGAAGAATTTAGAAAATGTAACCAGGCCAATCACAATGTGAATGATGAAACTTACTGTGTCTCAGATTGAAACTCATTCTTAGAGTGAAAGGCTGAGCATGCTGGGTCACCACTCACAGAGGTGGCAAGCTTTAATCACTTCCCTCAGAGAACAAGGCATGGTCCACTGCATGGACCCACCTGTGATGGTCATTGCTGCCAACACCAATGCTCAGGTGGGGAAGGTGACAAGGACCATGCAGGTGGATAATGTATGCCAGATCCACTGGTCACTTTTAGCCCTCAATTTGGGGTCATAGACTCTTTAATTCTTTGCTGCAAAAAATTTAGGACTTTAGTATGCTGACAAATTGAAACCTCTGTTGCTCAAACCGAGACAGGCGCAACCAACCAGCTTAGACACCTTAATCGTCTGAAGAGCCCATGTTACCCCACATCTAGCAGCCTCTAGATTGTGCTCCAGAGCATCTAAGATCACAATTCTTAGAATGCTCTCAAGACAGCTCCTGGAGTTGACAGTCTACTTCCTGGCTTTGTTCCTGATTGTGCAATTAGTATTGATCCAGCGAGTGTGGCAGGAGATGCTCTTTTCAAGAGTGAGGATGGAGCTTAGCCAATGATGGAAGATGGCCACATAGTCAATGAGGCAGTCCCTGTATGTATGCCGCAGAACAGAGCTGTGTGGTGAAGGATGCTGAGCCAGAGAAGGACTGAATCTGCATCTCCTGCTCTGCACCAAATCCTAGGAAGTTGGAGAAATATAATACAGTGCAGAGGTGAGTGTTCTGCCACAGGGCCACACAGTCTTGCCCAGAGATCGTCTTTTATCTTATATCTTATTCCAGTAGCACCTTTCCTGACAGTTTGTGTTGATGAAGATCAAGAAACCAGAGAAAGATGACTTGGTGGATAAGAGTGCTTGCCCTGCAAGCATGAGGACCTGGGTTCAAGTCAAAAGCACTCAAAGAAATGCTGGCTATGGATGGGACGTGCATGTGTGTGTGAGTGTGTGTGTGTGTGTGTGTGTGTGTGTGTGAGAGAGAGAGAGAGAGAGAGAGAGAGAGAGAGAGAGAGAGAGAGAGAGAGAGAGAGAGATCCAGAATGGCAGGGTGGAGATATGAAGGTCCCCTGAGCTCACTGGCCATTGACAATCTGGTCACTAGCATCAGGGCAGAAAGTGACAAAGGAGGGTACCCATGGTCTTCCCATGTTCTTTTCATGGGTACATGAACATATGCACCCATCTGTCTCACATAAGACTTAATAAAGACAAACTCAGAACCTCAAGCATCTAGGCAGCAATTTCATGACTGAGTTCAACTCCCAGTATATGGTCTCAAAATTTTAATTCGATTGTGAACTTTTGGGTCACGGTGAAAGTAATTTGACTTACTGAATAATTTGCCACATTGCTTTGTAACTGTGACGTGTGTGTACAACATATATTCCAACATCCCTTTGCACCCTGATCCCAAGCCTAACCAACTTAGAGACAGGAATGGCTGTTGAGTGTTTACTGTTTGATTACAGATCTGGCTGTTTTCCACAAGAGGGCAGTAGCAACCTGTAAATCTTTATGGCACTCTCAAGGGCACTAAATCCTGTGCAAAATACTCATATTTTTAGAAGTCTTTTCTTCCCTCCACAGGAGCACTGGGAAGACCTTGAGAAGTTATTTCACCCCAGGTGCTGCCTTCAGCCAGAGCCACATTAAATCAGCACAGATGGCTCTCTCTGGGCCCCAAAACGAACGATAGTCTATTTGTAAAAGCTAAACTTAATAATGATAATGACATACAATAGATATGATAAAGGAAAACAACAACAGATTTATTTTAACTGGAAAGAAGTCTCGCATCTCCATGATCAGTATTATATGGATGTCCAAGAAGCTTTAATGAAGACAAATTGGGAAGAGATCAGTAACAGGACGAAGTGTTGGAGAAAAGATCCATCACACAGGAAAAGCCATGTGGTTGCCTGGCTTAGGGAGCAATTAGTTGGGGTTTTGTCTACAAAATAAATAAATAAATAAATAAATAAATAAATAGGCAGCTAGAATCATGGAAATAAAGGCTTTGTCCTTGTTCTCCTTCACGCCAACTGTGTTTCCCTTAGTGGGATATGCGATCCACATGGGCTACCTACTGTGTAAAGGCCAGGTATGCCAAGCCTTTCCCCCAAACATGTCCTGAACCCCTCTCCAGCTCAGGATGGGCCCAAGACACTGATAGGCAAACAGTGAGTTGTTATCCTGATTGTTCATGAGCACAAGGCCCGTGATTCTTCTAAAATAGCAAGTAAGCATAAAAGAATACAGACCGTGTGTGTGTGTGTGTG